TATCTGAAATCAAAGCACACGCATCATGTTATCCTACATCTCTCGATATGTTTCTGTACCATTTATATTAAACATTATTATATTATATTTTCAATTTGTACCAAGAAATTATAGATGTCGAAAGTCCTGGTACATTTTCGTTTTATTTCAATAATTTTGGTGGTTTTTGACTGTTCATTTAATTGTATCTGAATTAACGTAAAAAAGGGAAATATTTCTAATTTTGCATTAAAAAAAATGCAGTAGATTATTGCAAGCAGTGTAGAATAACGCGGAGTTATTAGATTTCGAATGAAAAATCTCTAATAAAGTTTTAATACAGTTAAATTTTGACCTTTAAAAAAATCATAGGATTTGTAATTTTGAGTAAGTTATAATTTCCAAATATGCACCCTTTTAGGGTCTATTTAAAAACATATATTTGAGCTTCATTTGTCTTTTACTTATTATGTTAGAGGTTTGTGTCAATCATTTTGAAATAAAAAAAGTATTAATAGCAGCGCACAGCAGCGATATGATTGACTTGACATAAACTGTAAAACCACGGATAAGTAGGCATGTTTTGTGAGAACTTCATTTAAATTAAATCGTACCTAAATTCCTTTTCCTAGAATTTTTTCCACAAACAAAGCACACATTTTACATTTTTAGGGATTTAGATAAAAATATTTTTTGAATTTATATTTGTCATTTATTTTATTATTTGATGGCAAAAACAAATAATGAAAGCGCCATAGTTGTAATTGTTTGTTTGTATTATATTCTATTCAATCACAGCACTACTATTGTTAATATTAATTTTTTAAATTTATCAAACTATATTTATAACATTTTTTTTTTTAATTAAATATCTTCTCACACTGGTGTCAAGAATGCCATATCTTTCGAGGTTGTCCATTTTTTCTCTTGAGTATGTATAAATATTATTATTAAATTAAATTAATTAAAATTTAATTCCTTTCTACTAACATATCTTTAAAGGAAAAAAAGCGTTTCCTACTTTATTGAGAAAAATATATTTGAAATTTTGTGGATGGAGCATCTTTGCCAAGACAAGGTATATATAATCATTTCCAAACCTTCTATCTATCTTCTATTTTATCTATCTCTGACCTGTTATCAACATAATTACAAATAATAAATAAACTTAAACTAAATAACGCAAATAATATCAAACATAGGTAAATATTGTGAAAATAGAAACAAATTCTATATGCCAAAAATACACATTTGTGGACCCGAAGTTTAAAAAACTGGGTTTGGCTGAAATATAAAGCTGAAAATTTACACAAGTTAATAGTAAATGAACTTTCAGCTTTCAGCTATGCTAACTCTTGAGAAACAGGACATTGCAGTTGGCTTTTGTGGGTGTGTGAACAGTTTTGCTTTGTAATGCGATTCAAAACATGCCTGATAATTTCGATTGGAAATATACGCGAAAATTTTGTTCACCATTTTCTGCCCCATAGAAACGGTGGGCTAGATACCCTTAAGCACCGGCAGCTACTTTTGGCTGGGGCTCTTGGCTTTGTAGGTCAGATTCGAAAGTTGAATGAAATTGGAGTTATATTGCAACATTAAAAACGATAAAGACATTTTTAAGAAATACAATGCCGCAAGAAAGGTTAAGTACTACAGCCATGCTCAGTATGGAAGAATTGTTGATAAAGCACATAACACACCGCATTCAGTAAAAAAAAATATTGTAAATTGTATTTATCCAGTACAAGCCATTATGTCGTCTACGATGATTATTAGATCGATTGAAGTTCTAGCAACATAACTGATGTATTGATGGTATGAAAATTTTCACCATTATAAAAAGGTTAGAAAACTGTAGACGAGATTAGAATAATTTAGACAGACAATCCAGATGGCGCATAGAAATAGATTACCATTCTGTTGTGTACGGTCAAAATTCTAGAAAAAAAACTGCAATAGCACTTACCTTGGCCTTGGTTATACATGAGGATTGCTGCTTCTTGTGGATCGTATCTCGTACAAGCACACACTTTTGTTTAAGAGGATATAGTTACAACGGATTGGAAAAATAGGGAAAAATTGGAAGAAAAGCAAGTAATTAAATTATAATTATAAAACACACCAGCGGCGAACGTTATGTCGAACATGATGAGTCTCTTGTTTTCTTTCGTTTCGCGCGCATATCCACCTTTTGCCAGAGATTAACGCGAAATGTACATTTAAGAAAAAAAAAGTAAATGAAGAGAAAAACGTAACTAATTATTATATACTTATTTAAAAATTACTCAGTATGTGCAGTAACATACTGCACACCAAAACAAGCAATGATTTCAGTCAAATTATTGGTTTGGTAAAAGACAAAGGTTTTTGCAGTAATCCCTGGGAAGTTTTGATAGTTGCATCGCGAGTTATTCCGTCATTACCAAGATGAGTCTTAATTATTCAACCTACCTTCCAACGCATAGGTGAAGCTGAATAATTTTTTATTAGAACTAATGCACCAGTTTTAACTGGCCTTAAATTTTCAGTCCATTTACTGCCTTGTTGAGGCGTATGTGAATATTCGCTATGACACTTTTTTAAACTTATATTAAATTCGTGAGTTTCAAAAGATAAAGAGCTTTAATGGCAAGCGTGTTTATAACTGTATTAGCTTCTAGTTTATTTATAATTTGTACTCTAATGTAAAAGAAACAAAAACACATTTTAATCCAAAAAAAATTACTTTATATACAGGGTGTTTCTAAATAACACCGAAAAAATGTAAGGGGTGATTCTCTGATGAAAATTAATAAGGGTCTTTGGTATAAAATTTTTTGAAAGAACTCTCCCCTGAAATGTTACGCCTCTCCAAAAATTTCCAACAAAAAATTGTTTTTCTTTTTTATCTCCCACGTATACCAACCTAAAGAAACTAAACTTGGTGAACATTGTCTGTCAAAAAAAAAACACTTTTTGAAATTTTTTCAACCCTGAACTTGTAAGGGGTTGAAATAATCAACTCATATAAATTTTTATATTTTAAAAAAAATATGTCTAAAAAGCCTCATTCATTTACTCACTTTTTGATCAATCAAAGTTTTTTCGAAAAGTAAAGGATGTTGGAGAAAAAAAATAAATGTATTGCAATGCGTTTTTAAGATGAGCTGTTTAATTCGAGTGTATTTTGCCGAAAGATCTAGTGGCCTGTTCTTTGCAATGGAATCCATAGAAACAAATGTCAATGTCATTTATTGTTACTGTTTCTTGCTCTTTCACAAGTTTTATGATTTTGTGTAGAAAATATTATGTAGTTGATAAACCGATTTTTTTTTTTTTGGAATTTTTGGGGGCGTAACTTTTGAAGGGAGTTTTTTCAAAAAATTTTATACCATAATTATACATTTTTTTGTTATTATTTAGATACACCCTGTATATTTATCTTGTATATATTTTAATATTCTCAAAATAACGCGGAAAATTTTAAGGCACAATTTTTATGGATAATTTCTACTGAATAGTTCCGTGAATAGAGTATACACTAGAGAAATAACTTGAAATCTACAGTGAGAAACAAATATTTCAATAAATTAATTTGTGAGGACAGAACTCAAGAAAATGTTTATAACAAATCTTGATGTTATCAACAAGATTAGTATTGTTTATATCAAGTCAATTAAGTCATCCAAGCAATACGGAATAAAAAATATTTCAAATGTAAAGAGAATAAAAACAGCGAGTTTTTATCAAGCGAGAAAAAAGTGCGAGAGCAAATAAATATGACTGAAATCAGTGAATATTGAAATAAATTTGTATATAAATTAATGAAATTATCTGTGATCGTTCTGTTAATAACAAATGTGAATATGTTGTAACAACAATACGATAATTTGAAAACAATTCATTGACTTGAAGATCCAAAAAATATATACGATCAAAATTCTAGCGAAAAAAGGCGACACTGGCACTTACCTAAGCCGATTGCGCTTCTTTTGGACTGTATCTCGTACAAACACACACACTTTTATAATTATAACGGATTGGAAAATAGGGAAAAATTGGGAGAAAAGCGAGTAATTAAATTATAATTCTGCGAGCAAAATAATACACACAGACAGCGACGCGGCCTGGCGGCGAACCACGTGTCGAACACGAGTCTCTTGTTTTCATGCGTTATCTAACTTTTAGGTAGGTACCAGAGATTAAGGCTCGATTACATTGAGCGAGTTTACTGGCTACTAGCAGGCGAGTTTAGACGAGTAAAGTAGCCTGGCTTTCAACTTTTCTCGCAGATTGTTTACAATCAGTTAGTGATAGTGAACATGATTACACTGGGCGAGTTTAATAGCAGCTAGTAATTCGCCGACTAGTAGCTAGTAAACTCGCTTAATGTAATCGAGCCTTTAGCGCGAAATATAATACAGGGTGATTCACAAATGGCGACCAAAAATGAAACCTCGTATTTTTTGGTGAATTTTTTATCTAGGACGCTTCGTTAAAAAGATACAGGGCGTTAAACTTCAAAATATGTTTAAAATTTTTTAAAATAATTTAAAAACTAAGTGAAATAATTTGAAATTGGGCACATATATTTATGTAAACATTGTCCAAAATCTGAGGGCATTTCCTAAAATTTACATGCTCCAGTGGCGGAGATACAGGGTATCGGTGGTATATTTTTCAACGATTAGTTCAACGGAAAATTTTTCCACAACTGCCAGTATTTAACCTGAAGAAAGCGCATACAAAGTTTCACTTTTACATTTTTAGTTCCAGCCTTACTAGTTTCCATTCTGCACCATCCTGTTCTGTGATTGGGTGAAAACAGTATATTTTCAAATAAATAAATAAATTACAGCAATCCGAATAAATAATATAATATTTGTGTGTCTTGAACTGATTAAATCATTGACGCCAAAGCAATTGTTGATTTGTTTGACTGGTATCCTTAAGGAACCCTTAAAATAATTTTATTAACTTCCTTATGTAACGCTAAACTTTTTTATTTTCTGTTTTATTCTATTTGTTTTACTTTCTAGGTCTATTGGATACTATAACAAGCACTGCAGACTCAAAAGATTGTCCTGGTATATGTGTACATACGTTTGCTACAATTATATGCTATGACGTGTTTGATAACGTAACATGCCCTTCACCGTCAATGAGATGTTGTGTAGAACCGCCGAATGCTTCTAATGACACATCTGTAAAGGATACTACGAAAATGGAAATAACGTCAACTACCCAGAAAATACCAACTACTATGGCGACTGTATTAACCACAACTGTTTCGCAACCCACCTCCAATCAGGTAAAATGTTAATTTCTCTACTTAACAACTTTGGACCCTTCAAATTGTGTAATAAATATATTGTATTGTAGTGTAGTTGAATATCGGTGTATTCTTTTTTCTGATTATGCAACTTCTTATCCTAATATTTCAATAGAAAACATGAAACTGATTTTCCTTCCTCCAAATACTACCGAATATCTATGGATCAAAGCATCATTCAAAAGTTTAAAATCATTGACAAGAAGTATGTAATATGAATTTCGGAAGATAAATTATTTTTATTTTATTAGATTTTTGATAAGTTTAAATATTGTTAATATTTGTTATTTCAGATTGAGAAACAGACGAATGTTCCAATTACCAATGAATCAGGTATGTTTATAATTTTAATATTACTTTTATATGTAGTACGTCCATGGATGAAGGCAAAAAAATTATAGCATGTTCATTTTTATAAGAGAAAATAGAAAATACAAGAGGATTATTCCAAACGACTGAATAGCCTTTGTATAACGATTATTTCTGTAAGGTTTAATTCAATATTTGCAGGTTACTATTGTTACCTTACAAATTGATGAATTTTATTCCATTACTTGCTAACAGTATGTTATATTTTAAAATATTCATTTGTCAATGTTACATTTCTTGTAGCAGTTTTTCGAAAATAATTTACTGTTTGCTTTTTTCTCAGTGGTCGAACGTGGATGTAACAGCAGCCAATATCGAGGTGTATGTGTTGCTGAGAAAATATCCGATTATTGTGAAGCCATCGTTAACGTGGCAAACCTTTGTAAACCTGGTTTAAAATGCTGTGTTTCTAGGAATACATTTGGTGACAAAATACCTTCTAATTTAGTGTATCCAAATAAAACTAAGAGTAATTCCTCTTACATCGAACAAAGGACGACTGTGAATCCATTCGAAAAAACCCACGTAAAGAAAACAACTCCTGCGCCTTCAACTTTAAAAAAATGTGACGGCGAGTGTGTAGGAGATTTCTTTGCTCTGTTTTGTGACAATATTGACACTGAAGCTGAATGTCCAAATGAGGGTAGTTGTTGCCTAATCAGCCCGGTAAGTTCATTCATATGTTCAAAAATTTCAATCTAATAATTGAAATTAAAAAAATTATAATGGATATATTTTTTTATTTTTATGATATGTAACTTTACTGGTTTCATTTGAATTATTTCCAGTGCATTTGAAAGAAGTAGTTTATTTCTTTGTAATATTCTTCATATAGAATTAAACTATACAATAATTTTAATATTTCTATTGACCTTTAAATATGGCAACTTGGTTTAAAATTTGTCTTAGTGGTTTTGACAGAATTAAAGGTTTTCACCCAATGACGACCTACTTTTTTGTAACATCCTGTATTATTTTTTTAAAAGACAAATCCTGTGTTAAAATAATAATACTTTTTGCTAGGTTCTATTTTTTCCAAATAATGTCCTATAATCTTGCAGTCAAATGAAGAAACATCTCCAACTCCTACTTATTCTGTTACAACAACCTCTAGACCAATAATTACACGTGATCCAGGTCCTATATGCCCAGGATTTTGTCTGTTAAATATAATGGCAGCTTTTTGTGAAAGACCATCAGTCCTTATACCGCATACATCCAACTGTAAGAAGGGTTCAGTATGTTGTGATAACACAAGGGATACAACGTCAAAGCCAAAACCACAACATTTTCCGAAAACCACAACAACCACTGCAAAGCCAGATCCACGACCAGAGTGTCCTGGTTCATGCATTGTATCTTATTTAAGTTTCACTTGTTTCAGTAAGTATTTTCAAAGAAAAAACAAAAAAATGAGAGTTAAAAAACATATTAACAAATTGTGGAACATCCACCTGAATATTTGAATTTTTATTAGATATAAATATTAACTCATTTTTGACAAAACTCCTGTGGAAACTAGAGCCAAGTCAAATAATTGTGAGACACCCTGTATACATATTTCAGGAAATGCGGAAATGACGGAAATATTCAAATGTAGAAAACCCGGTACAAAATGTTGCGCTCCAAAAACACTTATTAAAGAAACACTTGGACAAGGAGATGTATCTCATATCGAGGAAAGTACAATGCCGTCAGTGGGCATTTCATACACAACTCCTACGACGGAAATGTTGACAGCGACATCAAGTGAGATAATTTCGTAAATCACTTTATACAATACATCTAAAGAGATAGGTTTTATACATTTTTTTTTTAGCCACGGAAATGGTAAAACATGCATCGACTTCGAAGACACCGGTTTATAGTAAATATGTATGTGGAGTTAAAGGTACTTCCAGAACAAGTAGAATTGTAGGTGGTGAGGACGGACAACAAGCAGAATGGTGTTGGCAAGTTGCACTTATTAATTCTTTAAATCAGTACTTATGCGGTGCGGCACTTATTGGAACTCAGTGGGTATTAACAGCAGCACATTGCGTTACAAAGTAAGTTTCGTTTTTTTAAGGCATAATTAGTTACAAAATCCTGAGAAAATATTAGTTAATATTTAGAAAACCATGTAAAAAATTTAATTTTTTAAAACAATAGATTGTTTTTTAATGTTCGGCGCTTCGTCCACACTGATACAACTTGCCACGTTAATTCGCGGTTTATGCCGCCCAGTTGCGGCGTGATCAAGAATTAAAGTGCATTTAAAAAACTAATTGTAAAGTATTTTATTGCTATGCAATTTTTATAAGGAACTTTCCGATAAAGGTTTCCGTTTGTGACATTGTTTGATTAATTTTAAAATGTTTTGTGGAATAAATCATACATAAGTAAAGTTTCAGCATCGTACGTTCCGGTGATGCTATTTACGTGAGAGTAGGCGATCATGACTTAACAAGAAAATATGGAAGCCCCGGAGCACAAACCTTGAGAGTTGCCACCACGTATATTCACCATAATCACAATAGTCAAACGTTGGACAATGATATTGCTCTTTTAAAGTTGCACGGCCAAGTTGAATTAAAGGAAGGTGTATGTCTTGTCTGTCTTCCAGCAAGAGGTGTTAGTCATACTGCAGGGAAAAGGTGTACCGTTACAGGATACGGTTACATGGGAGAAAGTAAGTGGCTCTATTAAAATAATAGATATAAACAAAAAATGGTAAGAGTAGCGGTAAGGGAGTTTGAAAATACCATTAACGTTCTTGCAATTCGTAAATTATTAGACAAATAGAAAACATATTTTTTATGGTCAATTTTCTATGGCTTTAAAATTTTAATGACGTAACTCAAGAACGTGTATCGTAAGCAATTTTCACCTCAAATTTTTTCGCTGACTACGCGGTTCAAAAGTATATGGGAGCAAATATGTTGTATTTAGGCTTTTTACTATGAGTGCTAAATGAAATGCCACTACCGTGACTTATTTTATACAATATTATCTCTAAATTCAATGAATTATTTTCAAATTCAATAAACTTGTAAATAACCAACACTTCTGTTTTTTTTTGTAACACAATTTTAAATAGTTTACATATTTAAAATAATAACTATAGTAGGATCATATTTGATGTAAAGTAATATATCATTGCCCGTCAAGGGATCCAGTGCAGTACGGTTTTAAAGGGTTTAGAAATTGAATAATTTATGCATTATGAACGGATGACGGGATCAGTTCAAGTCTGGCACCCTGTTCCTACAAAAATCCCTTTATTCTCATAAACTATTTATTTTAAATGTAATGTATTATAAATCCAATTTTTTTTTTAAATTAAACATGTACTACATTTCATCTCTGTACGCGCCACTGTTTACTTATTTTTTGGAGACGGTCTCTGATTTACGACCAAACTCGCCAGGTTAGTATTTGGCGTATAACCGACCATTTCCTATACTCGATGTACCTGGGCGACTACAGCTACTACCAGAACACAGTGCGTATGCAGCGGTATTTCAGATTTTACATTAAATTTCATTTTAAATTTGAAATGGTTCATCTTACGCCTCCTAAAAATGATAACACGATTTTCCTTTGATAAAAGACCAACAATTTTTTGCTCTACTTTGCATCGAATACGATCCTACCATATCTTCATATAAAATATTTTTCTTATTTCTAATTGTAGAATGCACTGGTAAAATATTGCAGGCTAATTTCATTACACCCTGTGCAATACCTTATTATTACTAATAAACCATTTATCCCCTGTTGATTTCAAAAAATATTTTCCAGCAGGCCCTATACCGCTCAGAGTGCGAGAGGCCGAAATACCAATAGTTAGTGATGCTGAATGTATTAGAAAAGTCAATGCTGTGACCGAAAAGATATTTATCTTACCGGCGAGCAGTTTTTGTGCTGGGGGTGAAGAAGGAAATGATGCTTGTCAGGTATTAGTATATTAGTATACTATTGTTTCTAAGTAGATATAAAGTTGTTTGGAAATTTATTTTTTTGAAAAATTATTTTTTTTAAAATCACAACTTTATCTTAATTTTCTATGGGCCACCGAAGAAGATAAATCGTTAAATTGACATTAAATTTTTCCAATACATTTTAAGGCAAAACTATACAATGAATTAGAAAATAAAACAAATGTTTCGATTTTGTTCGTTTAAGTTAGAAAGTTAAAAGAAAACAATTTTTTGCAGAATGTGACCATTTCAAAGTATTCACATTCGAGTTTCTGTTTCTTCACAGTTTTAAACTAGTAAATGCATCGGTTTTTTTATCTGATGTTTATCTTATAGTTATAAATATTATTCTGGAACCATTTTTCGCTAACAGTACTGATAAAATTAAAAAAACCTCTGCTTCCGATGTATTGTTTCTATAAGAAAAAATCCCATCCCTAGTCAGGGTAAGTCAATTTAATTACTCATTTAGCAATTGATTTACTATTGATTCATTCACAGTAATTTCTCAATTTGCATTTTGCTTTGTAATTATTTTCATTAATTATTTACAATTTATGGGTTCACATTTTGTGGCTACTACAGGCTGCTTTACCCATTAAGATTTCACTAGTCATACTTTGTTTGGTAGTTTATTTTTGTATTCAGGACCGGATTAAGGCAGGGGCTACAGGAGCTGTAGCCCTGGGCCTCACAAAATCGGGAGGCCTCGGCAAGATCTGCCAAAATTCTTTTTCTCTTTGGAATCAAACCAAAAAATTTTGAAATTTTATACCAACAACTTGTTGATTGCGTTTTTTTAAGAATGAAACAAGAACCGTTTTTTTTTAGAAAGAGGGCCCGGGCCTCACCACAAGTTAATCCGGCCTTGTTTATATTAATTTATTACATGTAATATATTGCTTCTTCAACACAAGGCTTATCATATTGTAATTTTTTTTTAAACGCATTGACACAATTTACTACGGACGCATCATTTCTATACTTTCATTTCAGTTTTATTCGAATTTATAACCTCAAAAAAGGAGTTCCTTGCCAATTTTTGTTAAAATTTACATTACAATATACCTAACATTAAAATTAATAAAAAGTTAATATACAGTGTGTTTCACTTAAAGTCGGACACCTCCGTATTTAGGATGGTGATGGCCCATTTTCAAAATTCTTTTTTTTATGTGATAGTACCCAAAAAGGCCTGCTCTTTGATATATTTTTTGACATGTGACCTTTTCCATGGCCTACTATTATTAAGAAAAGACCCTCAAAAATCAAAAAACATATTAGGCATTTTTTTAAGAAACAATAACTTCCCCAAAATAATTTTTCTAACACTTAGTTTTCCGAGATCCCAATTAATGATGTAACAAATGTCAGTTTTTAGCATTCACGAATGTGAATATCTGTCACCGATATTCACTATACCTAATGTTAAAGTAAAAGCTAATAAAATATATAATTGTAAGCTACCTTAGCAAAAAAAACTTGTTATTTTTTAAAAAAGGAGTAAGAAAAAAACTTTTCTAATAAAAATGCTAAGAAATTAATATTTTTGCCTTATTTAAAATTATTTACGCATTTTTAAAAAAAGATTAGATTTTTTTTTCGAAATTCAGTCCCATAAATTTTGTGAATGCGAATGCGGATATTCGTTAGATCACAAATCCCAATACATGCATCACCAAAACACCTCATAATATTTTTACATTTGTTCAAGGGTGACGGTGGTGGACCGCTGGTGTGTCAAGATGATGGATTTTACGAGTTGGCTGGGTTGGTTTCATGGGGATTCGGTTGCGGTCGTTTAGATGTGCCAGGAGTTTATGTTAAAGTTTCATCTTTTATCGGCTGGATAAATCAAATAATTAGTGTCAATAATTTATAATACACAAAAATACCAAACACGCATATACTTATTAAAAAATAATTACAAAATCACCAGTAATTTTAGCTAGCATTCTAGCAAAATTAAATTACAGGTGAACGTTTGTATCTGATTTTACTGATTGTAAATAGTTAACACGTGAAAATTGTTACCAAATGAGAATAATGAGTATTGTTATTTAATAAATTATATCTTCAGTTAATATTTTTCTTCATTAAATGTTATTTATGATGTTAGTGTTGGAAAATGTTATTTCATTTTGACAGAAGGGAATAAGAATTAGTATAGACTATTTTTTCTATAGACGTTATTTAAATTGCATGAAGACGAATAAAGGAAAATATTAAAAATATATTAAAACAAATAATCGTGTACTTTGTGACATGACATTTAATGCAAATCGGTTCGTATATTGGTGTTAGTATTGAAAAGTTTGTGACAACCACTGAAATGTTATCCTCTTATAGTTTTATATTGATTCCCAAGAAATGAGTTAGAAAGTCAAGGGAGCAGTACGAAAAATCGTAAATGATTTTTGAAATGATGCCATCATAAATATGTTGCCAGGCCTAGCGGTGTGGAGTGCGGGTTCCCCCACAGAACCTGGCGTGAGAGCAACAAGGGCTAGGCTGAAGCTTAGGAAGTGCAATGTATCCAAAACATACTGCAGATATTTCCATATTCTGTTAACTTTTTATCTGAAAATGCAATGATAAAAATACAAATAAAAAAAATATTTATTAATACAAAATACAAAATTATTAAAAATAATCAATCTCATAAATAAACACAATTACATTATAGTATAAATATTTTTTATAATTTTAATGGATTTACTTGTACAATTCCCTCTGCTACAGATATATTTTTGGATATAGAACTCATTTTTGAGAAATTATCCAAACATCGCCCTGACGATATAGCTTTTAAGTTAAGTGCCACCCTATCAGTTGCCTAAAATAAGTATTGTTAATTATACATTCGGCGAGTAATATTTTTGAAGAAAACTTACTTCTGAAGTCCACGTTTCAGCAAGTAATCTCTCGTGTGAGGCTGAACTACTGTTTTCCATGAGAGATTGACTAGCTCTAGACAGTACGACCGCGCTAGAATATATGTCGAAAGTTGCATTGGCTAGTCTGTTAAGGATAAACTGTTCATTCACGATACTTTTACCGTATTTTATTAAAACCATTTCCACGGCTTGTCCAAAGGAGTCAATGCTCTAAAATATTATAACTGATTATTATTTACAAAATTGATACCTAAAAAAATTATAGCGTACTAGCCACTGTGTTGTCTAAAAATCTAATTTAACCATAAAAGAAATGGAATAAAAAAAATACCTTTGCCAGCAAATTGGCTTCATTGGTCAGATCTTTATGTACTAGATGTTCCATTGAAGGCGGCGAACTCAAACCGACTTTCCTCACAACCCTCTTGGACGCTTCTTCAAAAATCAATCCCAAATGAGCCGTTGGGTTTTTAAAAGCCATCTGAAGTTCCTTTAGGTGTGCTCCAGCATATTGAATACCTAAAAATTATAATTCCTCAACATTGTAAAATTTTTTACTTCATAATTTTTTATAATATACGTTCTTATGCCTGAACGTTTTCCCTTGATTGTTTTTGTGATTTACCAATATTTTTACGTTTATTTACTTTACTAACAACAGTTCTTTTCAGAGCTACAGAATTTGTTTGTGTTTTTTACGTAAGTAAATAATGTATTTTAAGGTCATGTTTACTTATATTTGTTTCATATTTTTAGACTTCAAATGTTTAAAAATGACTTTTACACCTGAGCAAGATGTCTATATTTTAAAGACACATTTTCGGAGTGCCACGCGAAATCCAGATGGAATTTGGTCGTATTCATTACAATCCTGTATTGACCAATTCACTGAAGCTTTCCCTGATATAGACGTTGATTATGACGTTTTTAGGAATCACAAATCAATACTTGTCAAGAGATATGACGAAAAACATTGCATTCGTAAGGGGAAATCAACAGGCAGGCCAACAGTTTTAACTGAATCGAATTCGACAACGTATGGAGAAGAGCCCTAAAAAATCTATCCCCCAGTTGTCTGCCCAAACAGGTATGCAGGTAGTTTTCATGTTACACACATTAAATACTTGAAACTACATTTATTAACTTAAAAGCCTTAAAATGAATTTCTGTCTGTATTAAATTGAAATTCTCATGACGTTGTGAGAATGTGAGTCTGCAGTGTTAACTGCAGAGTAGAATCATGTAGACAAAATGAAGCAGCACAAATTTGAAACGGTTATATGGTGTAAAAAAAATAAAAATTTTATATCGTTTAAAGCTAACATACATGTCTGAATATTTGTTTTGTCGATAGGGTTCTTGGTGGGAACATGTCACAAGGCTTTAAAGAAGGAATTGCACCCATACAAAGTCTCTATTATTCAGCAGTTGCATCCACCTGACTACGACCAACAAATACGGTATTGTGAATGGTTCAATGAAAATCGGAATAACAATGATTTATTGGAATTTATGGAATACCAATTTGTATTGGGAAATGTAATGTTGGTTGCCTATCGTCGCGGTCACGTATATCTCGGACATTAACGAAAGCCCTGTATATTTAATAGTATCGAAAAAATTAAGTTTTTTAGTGCAACCAGGTCAATCCCATAAAAGTTAGTATCAATACAGTATTTAAAACAAAAAAATATCTAATTCTGAATTTACAAAGCTACTGGTAATAAATAATATATGATTGAGAGTAATTATATAAAAGGGATGAATCTTTCTAATTAAAAAGGAAACAAATGAACTGGAAAATTCAGTGCTAAACTAGTATTTACTGACACTCATTTTGGTGCTTATTGGTTCTAAGGCCATTATGGACAGAACTGCCTCTCAGACAATGGCAATCCTCTGAAGACATTCCGCAACGGCCTCTAACTGGTCACAACTAATGTTGTGAAATCAATATCGGAGCAGGCCTAATGATCCCGAGATAGTAGGTCCGCCCCTACAGAGCCTAGTCTGGGAACAACAAGGGCAAGTCAAGCTAAGGAAGTGCATTGTAAGTCTGTAACTGGCAGCAACCAGGTACATACGGCATGGTATAACAACCCGAAAAACAATCGTACGTTAAGTAACAACATGGGCAGTGAAAGCATTAACACCACAGATAACTGCAAATACAGAATGTTGTGAGGACACTTTTTCTTTTTAATACCAATAGCAATGGAATGGACCTGCCTACATTCATTCTGAATTCCTATTGCCTTCATAAATCACCATTTTGAAATATTTACAATTTGAAACTAAATATAATATAAAGTAACGTATTTATATGTACCAAAAAATATGTGTAAACTCATAGGCTCAAGTTTCTCCTAGTTTGTGTGATGTAGATGACACAATAATGTGTCTGTCTTAATTCGTTTAGCATTTCTTTTTGTGATTAATCACTAAAGATATTTTAACAAATGAAATCTGTATGCAATTGTAATGTTATTAAAATCCCCAGTAAGTAAAATTTTATGATTTGTTTTCTTTTTTCTCAATTTACGACAGTTTATACTAAATTTTTCCCCTTTTTGCATGATATATTCATTTAAAATACACTAATTCACGCGAATTCACAGGCATTCGACATAAACTCCACAACCTTTTTAACTTCTGTGCGAATTCAACTGACCTGAACTCCGACTTAAATGATATGGTTTAACTAACCTGTTAATGCTACAAAAAGTCTTAATATATCATTGGTCCCTTCGAATATCCTAAATATTCTCAGATCTCTCATGACTCTCTCTAATCCAGTTTCCTTCATGTATCCCATGCCTCCCATAATTTGAATCGCCTCGTCACACACGAACCAAGCAGCTTCCGAGGCAAAACACTAAACAAATTTATTTATTTATTTTGGATAAATAAGAAAAAGTAGGACTAAAATTCTAATAATTATTTTCCTATTACTCATGTCCACTAAGAAAACAAAATGTTAAATTTAAAAATAATTATTTAAGTTACAGGATAAATTTATATTTTGGTGAAATATTCAAACTACCGCAGTTTATAATTTTGAATCTGCAATTACTTACTTTAGATATAGCTGCTTCTAAATGATAATGTTGGGAACCGCTATCCATATTACCAGATATCATATAAGCCATTGATTCTGTGACATATTGCAACATAGCCATTCGAGCAATTTTTTCCTGAATTGTTCCGAAATTGTCGATTCTTTGACCAAACTGCTTCCTCTGTGTAGCAAATTCCGTGGCTTTCTTTATGCAAGCCTTCATTGTGCCCGATAAAGCAGCTGCCATTCCAAACCTTCCGTTATTTAAGATATTCATCGCCACTTTGAATCCACTACCAAGTTCTCCCAGTAAGTTTTCAACTGGTACTTTTACATTATCGTAATATACCTAAATTATTATCAAGTTATTTAATAGGTCTAGAATTTTTATTAATCATTGTTTAAATATGAAATATGCTGTTGCACACTGTACCAGATGATCCTTAATCGTCTTGCAATAACACCAGGATGGATAGTATGAAAAAAGTGCCATTTTATATGAATTTTTTTGCAAATAGGGGGATAGTAGATATATTTTTGTGATATCTTAAAAGTCCTTCGAGATATCTCGTTAATATTTTGTTCATCTAAATCGTAAAAATCTATTTCTCTCTAGGATACAACAAGTTTAAAGTAAATAAAGTGGCATTTAAAAAAAAAACAGGATAAGCAATGTCAAAATAATAGTTTGCAAAATAGCATCCAGCAGTCCAAAAAGTTTATATTCCTATGGTAATAAATCACTTGCATCATCAGTCACAGTACGCATTGACAGATTGGAGACTACAGATCTAGAGATTAATTTTTGTAAAAAGCGGGTAAAAACAAGTTTGGGATGGAATAGTGATAGTCATTCCCTAAAAATGCCCCTAGCAAAATATGTAGAATTTCAATAATACTGTTTAAATTAGTGTGCAGATACTTTAAGTTTGAAATTCACACAAGATATTGCAAAGGACTTTCCAAGATATCACAAAAAACATCATATTTACCATATCCCTTGAAAGAGGTTAATTTTTTCCTTTTTGGAAAAAAGTTTATATAGAAAGGTAGCCTTATTTTTTGATGTCATATCTGCCATAGAATAATAACCAGCTGGTTTGAAAATTAAAAAAATAGTTACCTCCGCTGTATTAGAACATTTGATACCCATCTTTTTCTCTGGAGGTCCATTCGTTATTCCTCCAAATGATCTTTCAACGATGAAAGCGGAAACTTTATCAACAGTTTTTCCAGTTTTTTTGTCCGTAACTGGAGTTTGGGCAAATACTGTCATAATTTCTGCAAGTCCACCATTACTGATCCATATTTTTGACCCGTTAAGTATATAGTGCTTGCCATCTGGAGACAGATCTGCACGAGTTCTAAAAATGGATACATAAATATTTAATAATTTAATCAAACATAAAATGAAACAGTAACGTGGCGATTATAATTTAAAATATAGATAAGTATCTATTGGAAGTCTCAAGTTGGTTTGATTATATTCTATCCATGTAAAAATGCTTAAGAGTTGAAAAACCTAAGAAAAAGCACTCTATAGGCAGGGCAATATTCTTGAAAAATAAAGAGATTTAAATCAAGTAACTTTGATGCACTTTTACTTCCTTTACAATTTTTTTTCCATTCAGATGTTCGATGACAACCATTTTTCATAAAGCCTTTTGTTATAAGTTATAAATTAAACAGTTAGTTCAGAAGGTGTCAAATAGACCTATAAGTTGACACCTCGACTATTGCAATATCTTAAAAATTTTAGGAGATACTGAAGAGATATAGAAACATATTAAGAAGTTTTAAGTGCAAGATGTTGCATAAATAAAACTTGTTTTGTTTTTGTTGTAATACTTGGCCCCTTGCACTATGGCCGCCTAAAAATATCCTAGAGATATCTAATAATATCCACAGATGAGGCAGACCTATTTAGTATAAATATTGTAGATAAAATTTACTAAAGTTGCATAAATTATACCTAATTAAGTAATAACCAAATTACTTACTTAATCGAACCTGCATCAGACCCAGATGAGGGCTCTGTTAAGCAAAAAGCAGCGAATTCCCTTGAGCACACTCTTGGCAAATACTTTTCCTTTTGTTCAGGCGTTCCAAATAATAATATACCTTTAAAACCAATAGATTGATGTGCACCTAATGTAATTCCAACTCCTACAACATATTTTTATTAACAGTTAGGATTCGTCTATGCCGATTTATATTCAGTAATCAACCTAAATCATGTGCTCCTACAATTTCAACTAGTCTAGCATATTGTGTGTTGGTTAATCCAAGCCCTCCTAAATCCTGAGGAACTTGCAGAGCAAAGGCACCTAATTCCCACAAAGCATTTAAAGATTTTTCTTCAACTTTTTCTTCTGCATCATTTTTGGCAGGATCATTTATTTCCTATAAATATATAACTAATAAATTTTTTAAATAACAGAGTTGGTATATACCATACTTTCACAGGAAAACACTACATAGGTTGGTCACTCGTGTAGCTTCAGGGGTGGGGATGTCGATCTCTGCGTGCGGCGCTGTTGTAAATTTGCTGCAGCAGTTGGCTTACACCCAGCGCTTCCCACCCTTCCGAATTTATGAACTCGAACGAAGCTAATTCCCTAAGTAGCGTTGTACGGTGAAAGTACGGTATAGGCTAAACATAAGTTACATATAAAAATAAATCATACTTTCAACTTTAAAATATATAATGTAGACGTTTCGGAAATACAGTTGGTGGCTTACCAGGCATGACTTGTAAATTATTCAAAGTTATAATACACTGAACACCAACATGTATTAAATAAAACTCGAACTTTCCTCATTTAAACAGAATATGTAGTAGAACATATGGAATATGTCTATCACATTAATTAACACCGGTTACAGTCAGCAACTTAATTTTTGTTTGTTTTAAAACTTCTACTATAAATGTTAAAAGTACTTAATATAGTTCTCTCAGACAGTGCTGCGCAGACATTCTTAAGCTTTCATGTACTTTTAACTTTAGAAACGTTTAAAGGAGAAAATATATAGTTGCTAATTAGAGCATGTAAAATAGAGATATTTACTGTTAAAAATGCACAAAAACTTCTGTTTAAACCTAAAACTAACCTCAAAAAATTTTTGAACTGGGTCAACTAACATTTGAAGAGTTTCTCTTTGCTCTTCATTGAGAACATTCGGAAATGGAAAGACCTGTTTTGCTTCTATTTGCCCCCTAAATACGTTCATAACGAAAGAATAATCTTCCGTAGTTCTTGTCGTTGCTGTCTTTTCTGTATTTTGTACAGTCTTAAATTTAGGTGTAGTGATATGCAAACTCCTAAAACTCATTTATTAAAAAAAAATTAGAAATTAGAAATTACACAGTTTTACCTTGCCAAAATAGCATTTTTAGGTACAATTCGACTTTGAACACAAACTCTAGATATACACAACATTTTTAAAATAAACCTGTAGCAATTTGACAAAGGTTGGGGTAAGATTAATAAGAATAATATATTTTTACACGATGAAGATCTTTTTATAACGAAATTTACACTTTGGACTATATGAAACTGAGTAGGTATCACAAAATATATAACATGCTAAAAACCAATGGACTTGCACTTTGAACCCTGCCCCCTACCTGTTACACATCTGTTACGTATGCGTAAATATAGTAAATATGTATACATAACACAAACGTCAAACGTATAACCTAGATCCAGTATCATTTATCTAGGCCTAGATCTAGGACACAAACAACAAACAATTAAAAAAAATTATTTGGCTGAGCCATTGATATTGTAATTGTAGAATTGAATCTTTTTCATAAACCCCTCATAGTTGCTTGCTAGATCTAGATGCACGTTTTTTTTCCCAAATAGAATGAATAGATCTTCTTCTTCTTCTTCGAACTCCGTTTTTGTTGAGCGCAGTAAATGTATGCACGAAGTTTTGGAAAATGGATTTATAGCAAATCGGATTAGGTTGGGTTAGATTAAGTATGATATGTAATACTTTAGTACCTAAATATTCATACTTTCATAAAATATGTCTCTTTAAATTAAAATTGATGCCACGTCAAAGGGGTGGAGTTTAGGTCTATTCTATTTGGGAAAAAAATGCTTGCTGGATATGATAAATTCAGGGTTACCAACATTGATGCTAACACTAAGAAGTATCAGCTGTATTTTGTTTAACTGATATCAACTAATTTGTTATTCTGAATGTTAATTGGTCAATTAACCGAGATTAACTAAGACAATTGCTACTTGAACTATAGCGAGCATTTATTTATTCATCTATTTTACCGAAGTGAATCTCATGACTTTCTAGCGAACGTATAAACGTATACACATAGGGTTTACAGAAATACACCATAAAATTTGCCATAAATACCAATAAATGTAAAATATGTTACAATATCTCTCGCATATTATAATTTTATAACTAAATAACTAATTTCAGGAATGCAAATAATTATTAAGAAACATGTATACTTAATTAAATTTACCAAGATAATTCTGATTCACATAGAATTTTTTTAAATTCAAGATAATACGCTTGCATGGATATATGTATGTGAAAACATCCAGCAAAATACTTAAAACGGCGGTAATAAGAAAACAATGTTAAATAAGAATACTATTAATAAAAAATATATATGTAAACCATGTAACCATGTAAACCTTAGCTGAATTTCTCGATACGCCAATGGATTTTCCTTATGCCGGTGGAGGGAAATTCAAGACACTGCTTGTTATACAGTTTCTGGGAATGATCTAGATGGAAATTAATCTATGGATGGAAGTTAGTAAATTGTGCAGCCTAGACTAAGATACTCTGTCTTATTCAACACTGCAGAAAAAACAAAACTTAGGACCAACGTACGGATGCAAGAATGCTGGTAAGAATCAAAATTGGTCCAAAATTATAAAACCCTCTATAGAGGGTGTCTGTCTCCTGATGATTATGTAAAATTAGGCAAGCTGGTGTGAAATAACCGAAACAAAAAATTGTGTAAATGCAGCTTGTTAAGAAAATCCTCCAATGGAGAAAAAATTTCACAGAAATGTCTCACGGTTCTGAAGAACAACAATCAAACTAGACAATTGTATTTCTACACAAATCAGCGACAAAATGCCAACAAAGCGGACACTTTCAAAAGCCATTTGTTGGTTAATCGTTCGTCAAACTGATTTCAGTATTAAAAATCTCTTTTTTTTTTCTACGCTAGTCACACGGCTCGATATCGATATTCCCTTTTCTTTTTTTTTTAAACGACTGATTAATAAAAGCTATTTTAATACATATATTTGGCACCACGCAGTCTACTATATTTTTATCGTTTAAATGCGTTCCATACATAGGCAACATGATAAACCTCAAACGAATATTTTGTGCGGTAATTTAAAAGCGGGAAAATAGAAATCGAACAAATAATTTTAAAGGAAATGATCATAGTCATTATTAACTTGGTCATAGATTAACCGGTGGTTTATGGATTAACCCACAGATTGGCTTACATTAATTAACCATAGTAGGTGTGATTATTTTTTCCCAAATGTTTTAAATATCTATGTTTTACATTGGTCATACGTTTTCTTTAAAACGGACTATTTTTTTTTTAATTAATATCAGTGTCATTTTATGTTTTTTTTATTAATGTATAAAACTATAATTATAATTATTAATAAACAATGCCGGTAAGTATATAATAAATTAAGTGGAGTAAATGTACACACGTATATTAACATATTTACGAGTATGTATATTACATTATTCTGATGACATTTTTACTCAAAATGAATATATGGTACGCTGAAAACACGTTAAGAGAAATGGTACAGGTCACAGGTTATGGAACAAAATACCGGCCTTTTCACAAGACTTCAATATTTTGCAATATATGTATTTAATATGATAGACGTTAGGGATATTTTTACACTGAATGTTCGGCAATGTGCGATGTATTACAGTTAAAATGATGGAACAAAATTCATATTTTTTTTTCCAGTTCAGATTTTAAAAAATCACTGAAACAGGTCAATTAGTAAATAAAAGTTGTCACTTTTCTGTAATATTTTCTATTTTTTTAGAGTCATGTTTGACAGACCTATAACATTACAGACATTTTACCTACTTTTTTGTCATAGTTGTCAAAAAAATGTCAAAAATTATTTTCTTTTATGTCGTACTGACGCCTATTTCAAACAATCATAGTCTCTTCATATTTTAAAAAACGTGCCTACTCGTTATTAATCTTATTCTACTTTCTTTAAAACACATCGATAAACACATAAAATTTACCAGAGTAGGTACCTTAGGTAGAACGTGAATAGATTTAGTTCCAAGTTCCAATTCATTCCTTGTTAAATTATTTTGAATGGTTGCCCATTTAGGCGAAAAACAGAGGATTAAAATTTTAATTATGATTGGATGCGGAGATAAAATCCGTAGTGACTTACTTCGCCATAAGTATCCACACCAGAGAATTAGTCGAGCTACAATAAGTAAAGTATCCAAAAAGTTTGAAGAAATATAAAAGATTTACCTGGATTAGGAAGACGAAGAACGGTAAGCGGAACACCGCATTGGGCATATTTTTGTGAACTCTTTGGTTGACTGACATTTTGATACTCTGATTATTTAAAGTAAACTAATAAAAAATATTTTTATAAAATAAATAAGCACCCATATTTCTCAGTATAAGATTCTGGATTCTCTACAAGAACCTTTAAATTGTGTAAATACAAATTTTTATTTTATAGTTTAACTTAATTATTGTAGTTACTGATAGCAACTGAACTGGTAATAAAGGAAAATATATCGCCTGTACATCCAGAAGATATCCCTCATAATATTCAAGACATATAGCAGGCTGTACTATTGACAGCTAACCGTATGTCCCTGGGGCATACATTACGGATATACTATATAATTTGTAAGAATAAGACATTCGGATGTCCGAAAAATAATCTATATTTGCCATAATATTCCAACATGCTCAGAATGTTCTGAGGATAACATATAATCCAAACCATACGTCCCTGGGTCATATGGTAAGACATCTGGAGGATATCCTGATTTGTAACATGACTATGGCTCGACATAGCCAGAACTAATTTAACCCTCTCCCTATTATTCCTTATTCACTTCTCCCTATTCAAAGATACCGATGTCAGTATAGATAAAATGATTTTTTTTTCTATATCAAATGATGCATATCGAAATGAAGATTACTATTTTACAAAATATTCCATGGCGTCGTGATGACGAAGAAATCTAAAAGTTGGTCATACAAATTTCTTTAAAAATATGAATTCTAAGTTAACGACGCAATTTAAATTTATCGAGATGTTTACACATATGAGTAAAGGAAGTGGGTTAGGGGGGAAAATGTATATGAAATAAAACGCATGGTCTTATGAATTATGTATTTACGAAAATAATCCTGAATTTTGTGAAAATTTATTTGTGAATATTTATTATACAAAAAACCAACCGATCGCATGAAAATATATACATATTCCAACACCAATAAAATTAAATAATGCTGACAATATTTTAAACAATTTAATCATAAATACAAAAATTTATACATCAGGTCACTTGTAAGAAGAGGTAGATGCTGTTTGTGGTCATAACCTATACAGAATTATAACGATCTTACCAGACGGGATCTATCCGGATCCACTCCACATGTCTTCTCAAACTATAAAGCCGGCCATACACCAAAAGCTGAGCTGTGCCAACAAGATAAGCTGTGCCGATTTCGCAATCCTTTTGCTATAGAATCCGCCATAGGAATGCATGGGTAAGCCAGCACAATTCCAGGCAGCTTTCAATGTACGGCCAACTTTGACTGTTGCTTAATATTGATAGAAAAAATGAAGAGGACCAAATCTTTAATACTTTCTTCCTATGTAATGAATTATTATAGGGATGCCTAGAAGAACAATTAAATATTGAATATTTCTTTTGAAAACAGTTGAGTTGTTTTTGGTCGACACATGAAGAACCAAAGAGTCTAGGTTCTATCTATAGGGTGTTTACAAACTTGAAAAGTATATTTGAAGAGTAAATAAAGTTGCAAAAACATTATAGTAATACTTTTTACAATTTTAGAGTGTTTTTTATAATACGTATTGACTTAGGTACCACAATAATGCGAAGAAACATTTTTGAAATCACCGACTCTATCGATAGTTAGGCTGGCGCTGTCGACAAGATCGCTGTACATAAAAACATGTAGTTAAGCCATAGTTTTCATCAGCGGTTCCACATATTGTCACCATAATCATATTAATTCATTTATTCATACTTACATACACAGACACACACACACACACACACACACACACACACACACACACACACACACACACACACACACACACACACACACATCTCAGACAAGTTATCTTTTCACAAAAAGAAAACAGTTAAAAATGAAAATCCAGAAAAATAAATAACGTCACTTAAAACATTTTTTCACTAATAATTTTTCTGGAAACTTAAGACACATTTCTCTCGAAAATGTGAACAGAAATTAAAAATGTTTGTAAATAGCCGATCAAGTTAACACGTATACAAATATTTTCTTTAACTGAACTTTTTTCTCACATAGTAAAAAAATATTTTTTAAAGATTTTAAATAGATAACCCCTTATACCTAACTGTGAACGTGACTCTAGTAATGAAGAATAAATAAATCAATAAAATAA